AAAGAAAGATTCTGTGCAAAATGAGTAACCGTGACCTCTTAAATAATAAGGAAGCAATGCCAATTAACTAATTAATTCCTTCCTGGGTAAGGAAAAAAGAACACGATGAGTTTGGCAAAGAACATAAGATACATGTAGGGATAACTATAAAGGGCAGTTTAATTAGTTTGCTATTCAAGCTGCATTCTGACAGATAGCTAGATGCAGCCCAGCAACCATTCACAGTCACACCTCTGAGCTATTTCATGTGAAATGTCTCCTGTATTGTCTCAGTTATTGTATCAATCAGTCCTGGAGGTATCTTCTTCATGTTGCACTTGCTCGAAGGTCTAACCTTTGTTAAGCCTTCAGTCAACTTGCAATTGTCTTCATATGTGATTGTATGAAATATAACAAAAATACTCTTAGACCAGATCCGATTTGGTTATATTAACCCGCACCCTTATTATTAGTATTATTGCCATTTATATAGCGCAAACAGATTCCGTAGCGCTTTACAATATTATCAGAGGGGGGATTTAACTATAAATAGGACAATTACAAGAAAACTTACAGGAACCATAGGTTGAAGAGGACCCTGCTCAAACGAGTTTACAGTCTATAGGAGGTGGGGTGTAAATCACAATAGGACAGGAAATAGAATTCAAATAAGGTGGGAGTGAAGCAGAGCTAGGGGAGAGAGGAAAGTGCTGCCCTTTAGGAGAGAGCAAGAGACAGGTATGTGAGGTAGACGTTACTCTGGGAGGCCATAAGCTTTCCTAAAGAGATGGGTTTTAAGGCACTTCTTAAACGATTGAAGACTAGGGGAGAGTCAGATGGTGGTAGGCAGACTATTCCATAGAAAGGGAGCTGCCCTCGAGAAGTCCTGCAAGCGTTAGTTGGCGGTATGTTTGCGAGCAGTGGACAGGAGAAGGTCATGGGCAGAGTGGAGAGACAGAGAAGGGGTATACCTATGGATCTGTGAAGAGATATAAGAGGGGCTAGAATTGGTCAATGCTTTATAGGTATGGGTTAGCACTTTGAATTGACTCCTGTAAGATACAGGAAGCCAATGTAAGATCTGACAGAGGGTGAAGTGTGAGAGGAGCGTCTAGAGAGGAAAATCAATCTGGGGGCAGCATTCATTACAGACTGTAGTGGGGCAATACGGCTTTTGGGAAGACCAATTAGGAGAGGGTTACAATAATCCATGCAGGAAATTACTAGAGCATGGACCAAGTAGCATCCTTAGTAGCATCTTGCATAAGAAAGAGGGGGATGTGGGCTATGTTTTTAAGATGAAATCTACAGGACTTGGTAACATGCTGGATGTGAGGCTCAAAGGTGAGGCCAGAATCAAGTATGACACCAAGACAGCGTGCTTGCAAGGATGGACTAATGTGGATACCACTAACTTGAAGGGAGAGTGGAAGAGAAGGATCAGTATTAGAAGGAGGAAAGACAAGTAGCTTGGTTTTAGAGAGATTTAGTTTCAGAAAGCGGGAGAACATCCAGTCAGAGATGGAAGAAAGGCAAGCAGTGACACGTTGCAGGATGGCAGGTTAGAAGCCTGGACGTCATCAGCATACAGGTGGTAGTGGAATCCAAATGAGATAATAAGTTTGCCAAGAAAGGCAGTATAAAGAGAAAATAGAAGGGGACCAAGGACAGAACCTTGGTGGACTCCAACAGAGATAGGAAAAGGGAGGAGGTATCATTAGAAAAAGAGACACTGAATGAGCGTTGGGAGAGATAAGAGGAAAACCATGAGAGGACGGAGTCACAGAGACAGGGTGAAGAGTTTGAATAAGGAGAGCACAGCCACCTCTTATTCAGTATCCTTCAACCAAAAGACCAGAAATATGGGTGAGGAAATAAGAATTATTGTGCCGGATAGCTAGGGAAATTAGGGAAACCTTAATTCAGTTATATCTGAGCAGCTGCCAATAGGGGTACGCAAAGTAGTAGGTATTGCAGTGGATGTAAAATAATGAGACGCTTACCTTCCACGTATGGGGTGAGGGAATGGAAGAAAGCCAATGTGAGATTTCAAATAATTTGTTTATAAATGCTGTACATCATTGCATTATTTCAACAGGCAGACCAAGGTTTAAAATCCCATACACCATACTTCCCAACATTGGCGTCCAGTGGAAAGGAGGTAAAGGTGGCAAGCGTAATTCACCCAAAGATGTGGACACACCCAGAAAGGGGTAGGCAAAGCCTGAATTAGTGGTTTTCAGCCTGACATGAATGCACGCCAAGCTGCCTGTCAGTTAAGGCCCTAAGTAGAGGACTTGCAGGTAGCACCACTTCAGTACTCCTTGAAGGGTCCTAGTATCCTGAGTGCAGCATGACCATGTCTAATGATGCACTCTAGCCACACTTTTGGAGGCTGTTTCCTGTTTCCCCAAAAGTGGGAGACCAGGGGCATAAATACAGTTAAAGGAACAGCGCACACGCAAAACAAAAATACAGTTTAAAATTTTACAAGGATACTTAAAATCACATATCTTAACAAACAGACATGTGATTCAGTTCCACCATATGACCATATTGTGTTAAGCCCACCACTACGTCACAACACCCCAATATCAGTGTATCCTACACTAAATTTAACATGGGAGATTTACATGCTAAATAGCAATACTTACAGCTTAATCCGTTTACAGAGTTTCTTAATTTATGCTTTCCTTTGGTCCAGGCCCGGACTGGCCATTGGGCACACCGGGCAAATGCCCGGTGGGCCGCGGTGGCCGTGGGGCCGAGGCCGGCAGGGGAGGTCTCAGGATCTCCCCTGCCGGTCTATACAGGGCCGGCACTATCCGAGCGCCGGCCCCGCTGTTTGCCATGGAGGGCCGGTGGGGAGATCAAAGATCTCCCTCACCGGCCCATTTAAACAGACCTGCGGCTGGGGAGGGAGGGAGAGGACCCGGCGAAGCTCTATCTTGCAGCTCCGCTGGGCTCCTCTTGCGAGATCCGGCGCGTTGCCATGACAACGCCCCGATCTCGCAAGAGTGAACTCTAGCCCTCAGGTTAGAGTTCACTCACCACTGGACCACCAGGGATGATGTGAGTGTGCTGGTCCCCCTCCTCCCAGCTACCACGTGCCTGTCCCCCCCTCCCAGGCTAAAGGTAAGAGGGAGGGGGGGATTTAATGCCTACTTAGGTTTTTTTTATTTCTTTATTTACCCCCCCTTAGTTTTTTATTTACCCCCCCAACACACATTTATACACAGCACTCTCACACACATCATACACAGCACTCTCACACACATCATACACAGCACTCTCATACACAGCACTCTCACACTCATCACACTCTGCACTCTCACACACATCATACACAGCACTCTCACACTCATCACACTCTGCACTCTCACACACATCATACACAGCACTCTCACACACATCACACTCTGCACTCTCACACTCATCACACTCAGCACTCTCACACACATCATACACAGCACCCTCACACACATCATACACAGCACCCTCACACACATCATACACAGCACTCTCACACACATCATACACAGCACTCTCACACACATCATACACAGCACTCTCACACTCATCACACTCTGCACTCTCACACACATCATACACATCACTCTCACACACATCATACACAGCACTCTCACACACATCATACACAGCACTCTCACACTCTGCACTCTCACACACATCACACTCTGCACTCTCACACACATCACACTCTGCACTCTCACACATAACACACACAGCACTCTTTTACACACAACAAACACAGCACTCTCACACACAGCACTCTCACACAGCACTCTCACACAGCACTCTCACACTCATACACAGCACTATCACACACAACACTCTCACACACAGCACGCATTACTCTCACACATCACTCTCAAACACATAACACTCAGCACTCACACTCAGCACTCACAACACTCTCACACACATCATACACAGCACCCACACACACAGCACCCTCACACAAATCAATCACATACAGCACCCACACATACAGCACCCTCACACACACAACACCCTCACACAGCACCCACCCCTCACACACAGGATCCATCACACACACATACTGCACCCCTCACATACACACACAACCCCCCGATACACTGCATCACACACATACACAATACTTCCAAACATATTTATATAATATATATACACATATAAATATACACACAGCACCCCTCTCACACACACACACACACACAGCACCCCTAAACACATTTCATTCCAGACACACACTAGATCCTCTACCCAACTCTGGATCATCTACACACATACACACACTACAGGGAGTGCAGAATTATTAGGCAAATGAGTATTTTGACCACATCATCCTCTTTATGCATGTTGTCTTACTCCAAGCTGTATAGGCTCGAAAGCCTACTACCAATTAAGCATATTAGGTGATGTGCATTTCTGTAATGAGAAGGGGTGTGGTCTAATGACATCAACACCCTGTATCAGGTGTGCATAATTATTAGGCAACTTCCTTTCCTTTGGCAAAATGGGTCAAAAGAAGGACTTGACAGGCTCAGAAAAGTCAAAAATAGTGAGATATCTTGCAGAAGGATGCAGCACTCTTAAAATTGCAAAGCTTGTGAAGCGTGATCATCGAACAATCAAGCGTTTCATTCAAAATAGTCAACAGGGTCGCAAGAAGCGTGTGGAAAAACCAAGGCGCAAAATAACTGCCCATGAACTGAGAAAAGTCAAGCGTGCAGCTGCCACCAGTTTGGCCATATTTCAGAGCTGCAACATCACTGGAGTGCCCAAAAGCACAAGGTGTGTAATACTCAGAGACATGGCCAAGGTAAGAAAGGCTGAAAGACGACCACCACTGAACAAGACACACAAGCTGAAATGTCAAGACTGGGCCAAGAAATATCTCAAGACTGATTTTTCTAAGGTTTTATGGACTGATGAAATGAGAGTGAGTCTTGATGGGCCAGATGGATGGGCCCGTGGTTGGATTGGTAAAGGGCAGAGAGCTCCAGTCCGACTCAGACGCCAGCAAGGTGGAGGTGGAGTACTGGTTTGGGCTGGTATCATCAAAGATGAGCTTGTGGGCCTTTTCGGGTTGAGGATGGAGTCAAGCTCAACTCCCAGTCCTACTGCCAGTTCATGGAAGACACCTTCTTCAAGCAGTGGTACAGGAAGAAGTCTGCATCCTTCAAGAAAAACATGATTTTCATGCAGGACAATGCTCCATCACACGCGTCCAAGTACTCCACAGCGTGGTTGGCAAGAAAGGGTATAAAAGAAGAAAATCTAATGACATGGCCTCTTTGTTCACCTGATCTGAACCCCATTGAGAACCTGTGGTCCATCATCAAATGTGAGATTTACAAGGAGGGAAAACAGTACACCTCTGAACAGTGTCTGGGAGGCTGTGGTTGCTGCTGCACGCAATGTTGATGGTGAACAGATCAAAACACTGACAGAATCCATGGATGGCAGGCTTTTGAGTGTCCTTGCAAAGAAAGGTGGCTATATTGGTCACTGATTTGTTTTTATTTTGTTTTTGAATGTCAGAAATGTATATTTGTGAATGTTGAGATGTTATATTGGTTTCACTGGTAATAAATAATTGAAATGGGTATATATTTGTTTTTTGTTAAGTTGCCTAATAATTATGCACAGTAATAGTCACCTGCACACACAGATATCCCCCTAACATAGCTATAACTAAAAACAAACTAAAAACTACTTCCAAAAATATTCAGCTTTGATATTAATGAGTTTTTTGGGTTCATTGAGAACATGGTTGTTGTTCAATAATAAAATTAATCCTCAAAAATACAACTTGCCTAATAATTCTGCACTCCCTGTATAGTTAATATAATAATCATTACAATATGAAAGGAACAAATTATGATAAAGTTACCATTGACACATCAGAAATAGGATGAAAATAGAAAGTTTAAAAAGTAGGAATGCATTTGGAATGCATTTAGAATGGCAAAACATCATGGAAGCTGTAGGTTTAAAATATGTGTGGATCTATCTTTTGGGCACCCCTGATCTAGAGTAACTAAGGAAACAGGTAGGTGTAGTTTATAACAAGAGATAAAATAAATAAAAATCTGAAGGCCTGACCAAGGATGTTTTGGATTTGTAGCTTTTAGGACATTGGACCTAGGTTAGGGTGTTCCATGAAATAAGGATACAAACTCATTTAATATTGTTTTTTGTACATCAGAAAATTTGAAACTGAACTCCTTAAGCTGTAAATTGTTGGTGTGAAGCAACCAGGCTCTTACGTCCGAAACTCTGTGCTTCGTAAAACCATGCTGATTTTTGCTGATAACCATGTTCTTCTCAAGGAATTCTTGAATATTATCCCTTAAAGGACCACTATAGTGCCAGGAAAACATACTCATTTTCCTGGCACTATAGTGCCCTGAGGGTGCCCCCACCCTCAGGGTCCCCCTCCCGCCGGCTCTGGAAGGGGGAAAGGGGTAAAAACTTACCTTTTTCCAGCGCTGGGCGGGGAGCTCTCCGCCTCCGATCCTCCTCTTCTCCTCCCCGTCGGCTGAATGTGCATGCGCGGCAAGAGCGGCGCGCGCATTCAGCCGGTCACATAGGAAAGCATTCACAATGCTTTCCTATGGACGCTGGCGTGCTCTCACTGTGAAAATCACAGTGAGAAGCACGCAAGCGCCTCTAGCGGCTGTCAATGAGACAGCCGCTAGAGGAAATAGGGGAAGGCTTAACCCATTCATAAACATAGCAGTTTCTCTGAAACTGCTATGTTTATGAAAAAATCGGTTAACCCTAGCTGGACCTGGCACCCAGACCACTTCATTAAGCTTAAGTGGTCTGGGTGCCTAGAGTGGTCCTTTAATAACCTTTCAAATATTTTCCCATCCACAGAAGTTAAGCTCACAGGTCTATAATTTCCAGGCAAGGATTTTGAACCCTTTTTGAATATAGGAACCACATCTGCCTTCCTCCAATCCTCTGGAACACTTCCTCAAAGAAAAGAAAAGTTAATGGCTCTATAGTGCATGCTGAGAGACTGCAGCTCCCACAATATGCAGGTGGTGTGAGGGCATGCTGGGACATGACAGTAATATTCCCTATGAACCCTGATCCCCATTTCCTCCACCATAAATATAAATCAGAAAGCAAGACCTACCTGAGGTGGAGCATACTTTAATATGGCTGCTCCTTTTATGGTGTGGCATGTCTCTGGAGTTTCATTAATGGTAAGTGCTGATGTCTGCTGCAGCTCCCACACATATAGGGACCTCTTATTTATTGCCACAGCATTCAGAAGTGGATTCAGTGGATTCACAGCACAAGTGTGTTTTTGAATCCCTGCAGTAACATTCCGTGTATAAGATGACCCCCATTTTTAGACTAAACAAAATTTAGAAAAAAAACAAAGTATTTTACATGGAAAAATATGCGAATTATGCATTTTTTAGTTGGAAGTGTATATAAAAACAGCTTGCAAAACCTGCAGATCTCGTCTGCTGCCTTTGCAAGCCCTAAAAGTTCTAAGACTTTCTGTGTTTGTCCAATCATAGATTTCCCAATGCTTCTCATTGAGAAGGCTTTGCAAGGTGGGTGATCTGGGCAATTGCTGCCTCTTGATTTCAGTGCAATAAGTTAAACAAACCAGGAAGTAGCCAGATCTGTTGTCTGCTTGAAATTCTGGGGGTGTAAACGTGTCAATTTCTATTGCATTATGCACTTTTTGCAAAATGAAAAAGAAACAACACACTCTTCACACATAATGGTTTTTTACCAAGTTAAAGTGCTTTAGGGGTCTGGAGTGCCCCGTTAAGCTGTTTAGCTTCAAGGTAAAGGAATAAGTTCTTTACAAAGTCATAAAGAGTTAATTAAATAGCCCTTTCGGGAATATCTCTTATATGAAGATTGAGGGGATGTTTTCCCTTCATGTACTTCCATTAATGGAGACTTTGCTGCTGCTGCTGCTGCTGCTGCTGCTACTTGATAGAGCTATGACCTAATGTAATGTAGAATCTGACGTCTAATCCTCAAAGGAACACTCCACTGCCCAAATACAATTTTCACTGTTTAGTATAACCCAAATGAAAACATGCATGCATTTAACTATATTTTTTTTAATTGAGGTTATCTCTATAAATACAATACATACAAAATAATAGGTGGAGCTGTAAAATATCTTGAATAATCTGTAAGACAGAATAAATGCAAATAGCGTAGTATGTCTATACAATATAATAAGTTGTAAGAGTCAGATGGTTAAACTCACAAGACTAGAGTCATACCGTCATATGACTCTAAAAGTATGCTCCTTTGGACCATTAGGGGGTTGTCCAAACCCTTCTTTCGTTGGTTCCTCCATGTTCCCCCTTGTAATCCTTAAAACGTCGCCCAAGGAATGCCCAATATGCAGGAGATCCTTGAATACTGATATTCGTTTAATTGTAAAAAAAGATAGTAGTAAAAGTAACAAAAATAATAATTCACTATACCAATAGATATTAGGTATAGGTAAAGTCCAATGCAAGTTAAAATATGAGTGTCCTAAATGCGTTGCGCCTGATTAACAGGCTTCCTCAGTTGGCTCTCAGAGGAAGCCTGTTAATCAGTATTCAAGGATCTCCTGCATATTGGGCATTCCTTAGGCGACGTTTTAAGGATTACAAGGGGGAACACAGAGGAACCAACAAAA